TATCCCCATGCATGAATGATGTGCTTGCTTGTCATTTTCCTCCAGAAAAACAGCCTAAACTGCTTGTTTTGTACTAATTGTTTTAATAAATCATCCTCCAAAGTGTTTATTTGTAGAATTCTTTTGTTTTCAAGAGACCAGCTCTGTGAAGAATGGTAATGAAAATTGGGTTTAGAAAAATGAGGGTGATATTTCATTAAATGGTTGATTTGAGTGATAAAATTTAAACTTAGAAAAACTACAGTAGAGCATCTAGAACAAATCTTTTTTTAACTCTGCAAGATACTGCTCCATTTGTTTTTCCTGACATACAATACTGTTTTTTTTCTTTTTCTTCTTTCAGTTCACAATGTCAAGCCGGAATGCATGGAGGCATACAATAAAATGTCGTAAGCACCCTTTTGAGTTTTACCGTATACATTGCTGATAAAGTATGGAGTCTTGATTTCACTATGACACTTGCAGGCCTGCCGTGTCTAAATGTGATGTACTTTGGTTCCTTGATTGTCCTATGTGACCGTGATATGTTATCATTAACATAGTACCAATATGTCCTGCCCCAATTCCTGTTTCAATAGTAAATACATCAACACAGGAATGAAAACTGCATGTTAAATATATATATATATATATATATTTTTTTTTAGCCTATTGATTATATGATTTTGTGTGTGTGTGATTTAAGTTTAAAACGAGTTAAAATTGATATTTCTAAATGACTCCTACTGTCAAAATTACTCTTGTGTCTAAACTACTCTTGTCTCGTGTCTATTTTGAGGGATGAGGTACAGAAAGAACTTCATCGGGATGCAGATTATCCATGTGAAGTCGTTGGAAGCTGGAACACCTGGTACGGTGAACAGGATCAGGCAGGTGAGTTGGAAAAACATATTTTTGTATTATGTTTTTGAAAAAAGTCTCTTATGCTCACTAAGGCTGCATTTATTTGCTCATAAATACAGTAAAAAAGAGTAATGCAGTGCAATATTTTTACAATTTCAAATTGTAATAATACAATGTTTGAATATATTTTAAGATGTAATTTATTCCTGTGATGGAAACATTGAATTTTCAGCATCATTACGTCAGTCTTCAGTGTCACATAATCATTTTAATATGCTGATTTGCTGCTCAAGAAATGTAACAGTTGTGCTGCTAAATATTTTTGTGGAGAACAGCATTTATGTGAAACAGAAATCATTTGTATCATTATAAATGTCTTTATTGGCACTTTTGATCAATGTATGCATCCTTGTTGAAAAAGAGCATTCATTTCTCTCTCTCTCTCTCTCTCAAAAAAAATAAAAAAAACTAACCTAACTGATCCCAAATCTTTGAAAAGTATTGTTTTTAAAGCACCAGATTTGGTTTGTTTAAATATCTGTTAGATGTTTTATATATCTTGTTACAGTGCTAGAGTGACACATGCTGTTTTGTGTTTGTAGTGCATCTCTGGAGGTATTCTGGTGGATATCCTGCTCTTACAGAGTGTTTGCGCAAACTCAACCGCAATATGGTATTTCACACATCTCTGTGTACTTACATTTTGGATGTAAGAATGTCAAAATCCATATATTGTTTGTTCTTTATCAAAATGTTTCCTGTGCAGGCGTATCTTGCATTTCGAAAAGAGAGGAGTAAAATGTTGATCTCCCGATGCAACCAGCTTCTTCTGGAGTTTAGTTTCTGGAATGAACCTGCGCCCAGAAGCGGCCCCAACATTTATGAACTGAGAACATATCAACTAGTAGTAAATGGCATTTAATTATTCTGTTTTAAAGAGACACCTTTTTATTCAGGCCATCCAAGATGAGCTATTTTGTCATCAGAACAGATCTGGAGAAATTTAGTTTCACTTGCTCACCAATGGATCCTCTGCAGTGAATGGGTGCCGTCAGAATGAAAGTCCAAACAGCTGATAAAACGCCATAATAACTCTTCCTCCAGTGAAAAAGTCTATCCCCTCTTGTCCTCTCACATCAAAATCCACTGACACATTTGTTTAAAACTGTTTTGGACTGTTTTTGCTTGGGCATGATGCTTGATCTATGAACATTAATCTCCTAATTCAGATGAAACAAATTTTTCACTGGAGATATCAGTTATTATGGATAGAGGACTCGTATTTTAGCTGGAAGGAGCAGCTTGAAGTTAAAAACATCTTAATGATGGATTTGTTTCTTGCAAACAAGCAGCTTTTTGCTTAAGACATTGATTGATGGACTGGAGTTGTGTGTTTGGACTCTCATTCTGACGGCACCCATTCACTGCAGAGGATCCATTGGTGAGCACATGATGTAATGCTAAATTTCTCCAAATCGATTCTGATGAAGAAACAAAGTCACATCTTTGATAGCCTGAGGGTGAGTACATTTCAGCAAATGTTAAGTTTTGTGTGAGCTTTTCCTTTAACTTTTTTCTCTGTTTTTGTCATGAAATTGCTGAATGAAGCCCGGAACTATGATCGAATGGGGAAATAATTGGTAAGTTTGTGTGTGAATTGTAGAGTTTAACTTAAAGGGATAGTTCACCTTCAGTTGCTGGTCCCCATTGACTTCCATAGTATTCCACACTATGCAAGTCAGTGGGGACCAGCAACTGAAGGTGAACTATCCCTTTAAGGAAAAATACTGATATTATAACACCATGTTGCGTATTTTATCTATTTGATCATGTTCCAGGGCTCGAGCAATCAAATATAGACAGGAAAACAATGAAGCAGTGGGAGGCTTCTTCACACAGATCGGTGAATTGTATGTTGTTCATCATTTATGGGGTAAGAACATCCTTCACTGAGCACATATCTTTTTCTGGTCGCTGCATATTATTAGGTGCTTTAAAATAATATTTTTTATGTGTTTTAGCCTATAAAGACCTGCAGTCCAGACAAGAGACCAGAAATGCTGCTTGGTTAAAAGAAGGCTGGGATGTCAATGTGCACTATACAAGTGAGTTAGAACAAAGACAGCGGGTGTTTGAAATACAATATTGATGTAGTGATTATTGCATACTGCATAATATACTGTATACTGCCTGTCTGTTTAAAAAGTATGTGCACATATTATTTGAATGTAGCTTTACAGAGTTATACACTACTGTTCAAATGTTTTTTTACAGTAACAATGAAGACATTTTTATTCTTCTATTTCAAATACAATAAAAACAGTTTCCACAAAAAATTAGGCAGCACAACTGTTTTCTACATAATAATAATAAATGTTTTTAGAGCAGAAAATCAGGGTCGCTGAGGAAATACATCAACTTTCACCATAGACAAAACGGAGTCCATCCCGGGGTCCGTCACATGTGGTTGCCGCTCATTCGTCGCATCTGCCGGGCTCGCCGTTCTCGACCCCGCCGCCTCAGCTCACTCTATCCCGGCCTCAGTGCACATATTTTAACTTTAAACCGCATAAACACATTTCATTACACCAAATACACCAAATAATGTTCTTTTTAGCAGCATCATATGACCCCTTTAAAATAATTTCTGAAGGATCATGTGACACTGAAAATTTTGCTGTACCATAAGAGGAATACTTTGCATTTTAAAATACCTACATTAAAACAGAAAACAGTTATTTTAAATTGTAATAATAGTTTACAATATTACTGTTTTTATTGTATTTTTGATCAAATAAATGCAGCCTTGGTGAGCATAATTCTTTTAAAAACTTTAAAAAGTCTTACAAACTGCCAAACTTTTGAATGGTAGATTATGTTTTAATATGCAACCGTAAATGTTTCAAACGGTGTTATCCTTCATTGCCACTTTTTTAATTCAGTGTTATCCGCTTTTCTCTGAAATAATAATAAATAAAAAAAATGCTATTTGCTATTTTCAATTATGTAAAAATGTCTTAACTTTTGGCAGTCTGATCAAATAATGAGACAAAAGGGAGATTTGGGAATTCTGGGTATTCCTTGCATAAAGTAAATGTGCATACTTCTCATAGTATGCTAGAGTACTGCAGAAATATGAATCAATTCAAAGCACAATCAAAGTGTTTTCTTTGTAAACGTCTCCATCTGGTGAATTTCAGTAGAACTTTTCCATGCATTCAAACTTGTTTATTTCTGTTTTTGACAGTGCCTCTTATCCAGAAGATGGAATCGAGAATTATGATCCCCATGGAACATTCACCTCTGCAGTAAAATCCACAGTGTTTCACCTGTGATGAAACCAAATACACAATCCACCGGGAGATCTACTGTTCTGACTTTACTCAAACACATCTGAAGCAGATGATCACGGTCTTCAGGTCCTCTCGAAGTAGACCGCAAGAATGCAAAAGTGTGCCAGTGTTGAAGCCAGTTTGAGAACTACAATGACAGACCCCAGTGCCTTTGTGTGAGACTGTTAAAGTATATATATATATAATAAAAAAAATTACAGTCTTGTTTTTAGTCATCATTCTCCTTTCTGATGCATCATTTGGCCTGTTGGAGTGCTTGAGGAAACTGCCTGTCAGCATAGCGCTTTATCTACAATTAAAAGAAATGTGTTCAATTTAACGCGTTTATCAGAATACTTAATTTTAATGTTGTAAAATGTAAAACTCCAGTTTAGGATAATAAATTTCGAAATAATTTCTGTTGATCTGTAGTCTTACACTATATTCAATTATTATTATTTTATAATAGTTTTATGATATGACCATGCTCATTTTCAGAGTATATAAAAACTTAGCAATGTAGCTGGTTACCTATGAAACAGTCCCATTTTAAATGCTGCTGTCCCTTTAAGAGCAGGGGGGCGAGTGACACAACTGCTTTTCGAACCATACAAGTCGAATACAACGAACTGGTAGAATAGCTTGAAACGATGGGTTCCAAAGTGGGTGGGGCTTCGCGACGCGTATGTTTTTTCGGATTCGATGGATTTAAATAATAATTCTCCGAATCACAATCAATAATTTTGGCAGTTTCTCCGTGTCATTTTCGGGTGTAAATGACTGCCTTAAATATTTGCTGACGCGAAATGTCAGCGGAATTGTCACGTGATTGCTGTTACTTTGCTCAGCGCTGATCACGTTCACCTTATCACGATCACTTGTGATGACTTCATATGGATTTTTTATATATATATATATATATATTACACAGAAGATTTCTTTTAATTTATTATAATGTTAATTCTTGAACACGATAGACACGTTTTAAGCTACAAAAATATTAAATAAGACAGATAATATACTAATTCAAATCAGCTTTTACGCCCCCTGGAGGAAGCCAACTGTATGTCCCATTGTAAACAGCATTTTAAATCCACTTTCCAATTAGTTCTCGAATCGAATTACATCGAATGAGTCTCTCCCACCAGCCAGCCACAGCGTGCCCGATGCACGAGGATTAAGCGTTTGGTAGCGCAGGGGTATGTAACATCACATCTCGCATTGCGTTATGTAACGCGTCCACCTGCACTGCATAGAATACATTTTCACGACGGACGCGTGAACGATGGACCTGCACATCTTGGACCATAGATTAAGGGTCACATCCATCAGTAAAACGGGGCTTGAACAGTACACACACCCCCTAATCAAACTGATATTTCTCAGAAACAGGACGAGGTAAGAACAGTCAACGCCTTAATGAGTTTGCAAACATGTTTTTACGCGTTTGATGCTGCTATAGCTCTTCATTAGACACCAGTTCAAGTACATAGCTTGCTTGTTTACAATGTGTTCAACTGCAAAGTAAGAGCCTCACCCTGTTTTGGTTAGTTTGGAGAAATGATAAATGACCAAAGAATGTCAGATCATGCACATGCACTTGGGGCCTTTAACTTGTACTTAAAATGACACATTGAACAGCTGTTTTTCATAAAGTGAGCAATTTCTTGTGCTCAGTTATGACTTGAAATAATGCCATATTGTAAAACCTAGTAGCTGCCTACCTGGCTAGACAACATTTTTGGGCATGCAGGTTTTGACATACATCCCATACATTAAGTTTTCATCCTAACTTCAAACTTTGCATGTACATAATATCCCATAGTTCAGTGGTTCCCAACCCTGGTCCTTGAGGCACCCCAACACTGCAAGTTTTGCATGTCTCCTTAATCAAACACACCTGATTCAGGTCATCGGCTCATTAGTGGAGACTCCAAGACCTGAGATTGGTGTGTCAGAGAAAGGAGACATGCAAAATGTGCAGTGTTGGGGTGCCTCAAGGACCAGGGTTGGGAACCACTGCCATAGTTGACATTCACTGCCTGTACGTTAACATGGGACAAAATAAAAACCCTAAAAGTTGGACTTTTATTTCATTGCATACATAACTAAATATCAGCAAGTTGCTTTTTTGGTAAATTATATGTATTGAAGTAATTTTCTGCACGTTTCATTTGCTGACATTAAATTCTATGTTAATATTGGCATTAATATCATAAGTTATTGGCCACCTTTCGCTATCATTGGTCATTGCAAACCCCATGTTGGTTGTTGACTTGTTAGTAGCCTATCATGTTTTAATACCAACACCCTAGTTGAGATCCCCCATTGTTTTTGTGCCAGATAAATACTTTCCTGATTACAACATATATCAATCACCTATTTGAAATGATATTACTGAGTAAATGATTAATACTAATTTCCGAAGTAGTGTGTGTAGAATACACATTGCACGATTATAACATCATTTATTTACTGCAACGTCAAATCATTACTTTTGTCCATGTCAATGTGTTCAGTTTTACTCTGTATTTTGCACTTGAATAAAGGGGTTATTATTAATAAAAAAGCAAAAGATCGATTAAAATCAAAAGTTAGTGGGACATGTCCATAGTTAAGGGCAAATTACTTAATACATCTATCCACTAAGCAAGACTTCAGGACCAGTTGGAAAGATTCATTGCAAAAATCTAGCTACGTCATTCTAAGAAACGATCTAGTATCCTTGGTTAGCAGATGTCTGTTGGTTTGACATTCAGACATTTTAAAGTGTGGTTTGTCCCTTCTAATACATAGCCCACATGGCCAAAGAGACATCTACGGAAAAGAAAAATACTTTGCATTTCATTTTTTGTCTTTGGAATGTAATTTACAGTTGAATTGTTCACAGTAAGACTGATAAATAAGGTCAATTCCGATCCGGTGTTCACTCTTATTGCATTTGGGTACCTGTTGTTTTTTCTGTGCAGCTTCTGAGCCTCAAGTGTCGCTCTCTTATTTCTTCCACCTAATGGTGGGACATAAACTCAGATACGTGCAATAAAATCCGGGTTGCAAGATGTCGCTGATGAAAGTATTTTGTGGGGCATCATGTGACTTCAGTACATTTTATGATCTGCTTAATGCCGTTGAATGGGGTGCTTTTTCTCATGTCTGCGAGGACGAGGGGATGGCAGCAGGCCTTTCAGGATTGGATTCCCACAGAGCTTAGAAAAAGATTGGCGTTTGTGTATTCGATATGCCTTTTCTGGTTCGTTCAGGCATATCTTGTTGAACTTTCCAGAACCTTGAATGCTACAGATTGATAATGTTCCAGAGTTGAGCATATCACTTCCAAATACTTAAACGAACGTTGTTGTTTTTATTTTTATCTTAAAATACACCAATTAAAGTGATAGTTCACCCAAAGCTAAAATTCTGTCATCATTTACTCGAAATGGAATCGAGATCGCAATTCGACAGAAGCTGCGATTGTCATGCGTATCTTTCAGTGAAGCACGGTTCTGTGATCAGCAGTAAATCTCCATCCGAAGGCCAGAGGGCTCTCTCGCGCTGAAACTCCAAATACGCCTCGCAGAACAATCCCAGAAAATGCCTACCGCTGCAGCTGAATAAACAGAAGATTCAACTGCTTTCATTGATTCAACGTGACTAATAAACACACGACTACGGCAATATACAGTTTTTCTGAGTTCTTCTAATTTTCATTAAAATAAAGTATATTTATAATGCAATGCCTTTATAAATGCTCAACTGACGTTATGAAGCGAGTTTGGAGTAAAAAAATGTTATTAAGTGTGGTATTTTCACATGCTTTCAGATGGAGCAGCATTTACTTCACAGAGCCATAGTTCACTGAGAAGCTATGCAAACAGCTGTCATTATCGCGAACGATTTTAGAATTTTTTTCAGATTTTTTTGCTTAACTTGTCAGTGAACTACGGCTATGTGTAGTAAATTCTGCTCCATCTGAAAGCACGTGATGATGATTTCCTGCTGATTACAGAGACGGCATTACTATCAAAATGCGCATGACAATCGCATTTGATTAATCGTGCAGCCCTACCCTAAAAGCACTTACAACTCCTCCACCATATTCAAAGCCGTCTGCAACCATACGATAGCTTTTAGTGAAGAGCAGACTGAAATGTATGTTGTTTTTCACTGAAAATCGTCTTTTCCGCTGTAGCTCTCAAATACTCTTCATGCATGAGCATATTCAAACTTGCCTTGTCAGTTTTGATATCATTGACACCAAGCAGCATTGGTTCTTGATGTGTCTTGCTTTACTTAATAGCACATGTTAAGAGTTTAAGTGGTGACAAATTTCATTTTTGGATGAATTATGCTTATAAAGGTCAGAAGGAGTGCTCACACAAACACAACATGATTTCATCTGGTAATGTTATCTTCTCCACATGTGCAGCTTTGAGCACAGCGAGAGGAACATTTTTCTGAACAGGCCTTCTGTGAATGGTGCGTTAACTGCATCTGCTTGTTTTGACTGGCACGAAAAATTTAAATTGTCGCCATTTGCTCTTATGTTGTCATAAACCTGTTGTGGAACTCGAAAGGAGATATTTTGAATAATGGTCTTTCAAGATTTTAAAAGTCATAAAACTTGAGGTGAACTCGGATCAGAACGATTTGTGAGTTTTTCAGATTTTTTCCGAGTTATTCCGAGTCATTGAAAAGATCGAACTCAGAAGAATGGCTCGTTCACAAATCGGAAATTAGGTGTCATTCACTGTGAGTGAACTGTGCGTATACACAAATTTGTGAGTGAAATCTGCATTCAAACATTTTTACCAACAAATCATCATGATTCTGTAATAACTTTGGTACTGACATTTATTGAAAATTTACGAAATAATGCAGGAACAACTGAAACCACACAAACAAAAATCAACCATATAAACTATTTAAGAAGGTAAAATATTATAAATAGTTATAATCTTTAACCTGCTTGATTAATCGATATAAAAACCAAATTGTGAAATGGATCACTGCGTTTTTCTGTCAAAATAAAAGTTTGATGGTTTAACTTTTGTCAATTAAGAAAATAGGATGGCCATAATTATTATAGTAATTTTGCAGCTGCAAAATGAAAATAAAATTATTATAATATTGTATTTCTTTTACTCAATTTTATTTTACGGGGAAATATATATATATATATATATATATATATTTTTTTTTTTTTTTTTTTAGCCGTTTTGAAGTAATAGTAATAATATTAAAAGCATTATTATTATTATACAGCCATAATTATATGTAATTACAAAATGTTGGCCAAATTGTGCAAACAAGCATAGCAAAGCTAGATAAAAAAATATATATGATTTTTATTTTATTTTATTATTTTTTTTTTACGTACATGCAAATTTTCCTGTGCGTATAATGAAAGTGCATAGGATAGTTCGTAGTTGATGTAATGATTTATCAGTAAATAAAGACTTAAATAAAAGTCTTAATTTTTTTCCCCCCTCTCAGAATAGGGACAATTTTCTGACCTGAAATACAGCACACTGCTACAGGGAACATAGTTCTTTCCCTTTTCTCACCGTTCTGGATGGTGTTGGTTTAACACCACTCCTGTATTTCTGTTTTCCAGATGGCTTTGGAGTGCTTACAGGAAGTTGAACCCTGGGAGCTCTAGATATTGTTAGGAAGTGTGAGACTAGCTTACACAATGCTGCTTTGCTGAGTTAGCCCTGAGGGTGGGGATGTATTATTTCCCTTCTGTTAGGCCCTTGCATTGATGTGCCCAGTGGTTGGGGTCCGGATTGTATTGCGCTGCATTGCAGACAGAACAGGAATCAGCTGTGCGAATGAAGAGTCCTGTGGGTGGCTGCCAGTACAGTATCGCAGCTCTTCCTTCAGATAACGGCTGGTGGACTGCTGAGTCTGCCTCAACTGCCGTAGTTAATGTGAAAGTTAGAAAGTGCTTTTTGTTAGCGGACTACTTCATCTGTCACATTGATTAATCGAGATTAATCACATCCAAAATAAAAGTTTGTTTACATGATATGTGTGTACTGTTATATGTATATATAAAATACACACACATACATGTGTATATATATTTAAGAAATAATTACACGTGTGTGTATATGTATATTCATATTTATATATGATTTTATTATATATAAATGTTACATATATTTCTTAAATATATGCATGTATATGTGTGTGCATGTATATACATATGTACACACACATATAATTATGTAAACACAAACTTTTGTTTTGGATGCGATTAATCATGATTAATCGATTTGACAACCCTAAGTTCCAAAAACATGAATGTACAACATATAACATATCATGTATAAAACTAACCCAAGTCACTTGATGCAATACTAATAACACAAAACGTACATATATCTAAATACAGAATCACTTTATTTATATATATATATATATATATATATGTCGTTGGTTCGATTCACAGGGAACACACATACTGGTAAAAAATGTATAGCCTGAATGCACTGGAAGTCGCTTTTAAGCATCTGCTAAATGCATAAATTAGATTAGAATGATCATATGACACTGAAGACTGGAGTGATGGTGCTGAAAATTCAGCTTTACATCACAGGAATAAATTTGAATATATTTAAATAAAAAATTGTTTTTAAATTATAATAATATTTCACTATTTTTTTATTTTTTTATCAAATAAATGCAGCCTTGGTGAGCAGAAAAGACTTTTACTAACCCCAAACTTTTGAAAAGTAGTGTATTTTTAACCTAATAAATTAGTAGAGCCCGACCGATATATCGTTTTGCCGATATTATCGGCCGATATGAGCCTATCGCCGATATATCGGTATCGGCGAATATGCCGCCGATATGAAATTTTTTTTTACAGAACATATAATGCAGATAAAATGCTTGAAATGGTGTAATTACTTAGTTTATCCAGCAGAGCACGCTCCATTGTTTGCTACTGGCGACCTGGATGAAACGCTTTAAAGCTTAAGTCAATGGAAAACCATTGGAACTTTGAACGGCCATATCTCCGTAACGGCACAGCGAATCTGCACCAAATTCGGGAGATCCCTTCAGCTCGAGGAACCCGCTCGAATGCAAATCGAGTGTACGTCTTGAGGCCCTCTTTCGAATGAGACCACCCCCGCGTGGATAGCCCCCGGGGTTCGGGAGTTATGGGTGGTTAAATTTGCGGTCCGGCGCCGACCGATCTAGCGATCCCGGGGGGCTACCGACACGCGGAGGGTGGAGTTCGAGAGGGCTTCTCGAGCTGAAGGGATCCCCCGTATTTGGTGAAGATCCGCCGTCGCAATTATATTGTTGGGTAAGTATAGGCGACTGTATAAAACCGATTTTGATTGCGCGCGCTCATTTTACTTTCACTTTTGAGATTTGCGATCACATGGACTCTATACTATAGAGCAGTGGTCACCAAACTTTTTAGGCCCAAGATCCCTGACCTCGGCCTTTATGAAAGACAAGATCTACCTATTGAAGAATTGATAGAAAAAGACATCCCAGATTGTACTTCAAATTTGAGGCCTTTTACTTAGTATTTTAATTAGTGATGCACCGATAATAGCTGATTCAGAATTCAGATTTTCTTTTCTTTCTTTCTTTTTTTTTAACTAGCAAATTGGTTGATTATGATACTGATTTTTAAGCAAATGTATTTATTGGCCATTTGCTTTATAACAAACCAACTGGCTTTAAACAAATATCTAGACATTTGAAATGAGAGGCAACCAGGGGAGAGCGGGGCACGAAGTAACACTTTTTGACTTTCTCAGTTTGTGTATATCCACATGGGGTTCAGAATATAATTTTTTTATCCACAGTAATTTTACACTTGTCTAGCACAAATATGTCACTTTGTTTCATAATTACAGCATAGACGTTTTTCTTTATTTACCCTCAAAAAATGGAAGTGAAATGTGACAACATGCCCCGTAGGTGGAACACATTGTAACATCTGAGGGGCACGTTGTAACTTGACCATATGACAGCTTAAAATCTTATCTGATCGAATGAAAAAAATATACAAGACAAACTAAAATATTTTGTTAATAAAAAATAAATAAATATATATATATATATTTATTATTATTATTTTTTTTATATATATATTTTTTTTCAAATAAAAAAATGGCGTTTTTTAAAGATTAAAAATAATCTGATTTTTGAGTTTGACAATGAACACATTGCAACCATGCTTGGGACGGCCCAAATAAACGAGCAAAAATCCTTTACATGTCTTGAAATAATAATTTCCAAACATTAAACATTGACTGTCAGTCTTTATTCACCTGTTTCTCTTTGTTTCTCATTAAAATTAAAGTAAATAGTGTAAATTATATCGCTAATGTTATAGAATAACCCATTGTAACGCAGTGTTACAACGTGCCCCATCTGCGCAACTGGAATTTAAAACCGGTTACTGTCTTCTGTTAGTAATCAAAGCATTAAAAAACGGTCTGAACTGATAAATAACAGATTGGAGATTAAAATAATAGCAGATTTGTCTCATTTTAAATGAATAATAAAAACTGAGATATAAAATTTACTTAATTTATGTGTTTATGTAGTATGTTAGACTAGTTTAAGTGTTTATGTAGTTAATAAAACCTTACTTGTATCACACTTGACGTGTTCATTGTTTGCTCATAACCGGAGTCACTAATCATGCAGACTTACGCTACAAGCTTTTGTAGAATTGTACAGTAAGAAAGTTATTTCCCTTAACCAGGAAATTAACGTTCATAGAATTGACAAGACAGTTGACCCTGAGAGGTCAGCTAAATATCTACAGCGGATCTAAAATATTCATAATTAATCATAACTAGTTATGGTTAATTATTCATATTTCCCATGAGCTGATTCGTTACACTATGGTAAAATAAATATTCAAACCATGTGTGTTACAACTAACACCCCGTTACTTTGTGCATCGCACTCATCGCAAGTTTATTGTTAAATGCCCTTACATATCGCTGTCACCATTAGAAGTGTTTGATCACCACGTTTGAGTGATCATTGGAAAAAATGTGTTTATGTATATATATATTCTGTTTATGTATATACTGTATTCTATATATAGTACCAGTCAAATGTTTGGACACACGAATGGGAAAGTGTCCAAACTTTTGACTGGTACTGTACTATAATATACACAAAGAATATCGGCCGATATATTGGTATCAGCCTTTTTTTTACTCCCTAATATCGGTATCGGCCCCAAAAAACCCATATCGGTCGGGCTCTAGTAATTAGACTACATGATCAGTTTACATAACTAATCAATATTAGTGTATTTCATCTTTGCTTTAGTTGTTTTGATGCTGATAGATGAAATTCCATGAACCAGTCTGGACTTCATTTGTACAAATCAACTCTCAACAGTTCTTTTCCCATGATTCTCAGCTCTGTGGCTCTTAGACAGTAGATCAGACTGAATGAAGTGGAGTATGTTGTTCTGGGTTCCTGGACCGGCTCGTAAAGAATTTGGCTCAAACCCTGTTGTGGAGAAACCAATTCACACAAACTTTTCTCTTTTTAACACGCACATCAAGCACCTCATATTTATCAATCGCAACAAACCGAAATGCAGAACCATATGAATGGATTTCAGAAAGAGAAAGAGAAAATGACATTCACTTTTTCTGCAGAGGAGTTTGATGTGGTTTGTGTCTCCATCCCACACCTCTCAGCTGAAACACTCTTTGCAGCAATCTGCCATTGCTTTTTTCCATTATGCAACGTCTGATCTGTCTGTTTGGTTTTGCTTCTTTCTCTCTCTCCCTCAGTTTATTTTCCCCTCTCTCTTGTGCTTTTTCTCTTTCTCTCACAGATGCAAATTTTTCAGTCTCACAGAGACTCCGGAAAATTACACAGTTGTCCTTGATGAGGAGGGATTTAAAGGTAAAACACACACTCACACACACATGAACTGCTGTCATAAGGCTCTTGTGTTCAACTGACGATGACACACATTGTCATGGACTATACTGAGAATTCTATTATTTTATTTATAGTTATGTTAGCATTTTATGTTGTCAACATATATAATTGATCCTGGGGATTTTAATCTGACGTTTCACATTGTACATTTCCAAAACCTGGGTTAACATTCTTATTTGCATAATTACATGATTGGCTAAATATGGTGCCAAAAATGTTAATTACTCTTTATTTGATTGGATCATTACTTGAAACTGCACTGAAATGTGAAGAATATGGAAATGTGTGACATGTTTGAACAAATTGTGCTGTATATATTTCAAGCAATAAAACATTTTTATAGTTTATATATGTTAATAAAACAGTTTTTGTCTTTTAAGGAGGCCTAAAACCATTAACACCTAATAATTGATCATTTAATTAAAGGGGTCATATGATGTTGCTAAAAAATAACATTATTTGGTGTAATGAAATGTGTTTAAGGTTCAAAAAAACACATTATTTTCCACAAACTGTACATTATTGTTTCTCCTCATTGCCCCGCCTTTCTGAAACGCATAGATTTTTACAAAACTCATCGGTCTAAAAAGCGAGGTGTGCTCTGATTGGCCAGCTATCCGGTGCGTTGTGATTGGCCGAATACCTCAAGCGTGTGATGGAAATGTTACGCCCCTTATCATACTGTGCTGATGCCGTCTCGACCGGAGCGACGATTCAAAAACATTAAAACCCATTATAAACTAGGCATTTGTTGCATCCAGTGGGGACAGATTATAATGACATATACTGTCTTTTTAAGCATTGCATCGCACCAAGTAAACATAAAACCATGTCTGCATTTGTGATCGGAGAAATGACAAACAACAAGCGCTACTCTACACTGCTCAAAACTTGCGTTTGCATAGTCAGTGGCAAATTCGTTAATATAAAAAAACGTACTTATAGTCTAAGTCAGAACAGCCGGCATTGTAGTCTACTCTACCAGGATCAGGAAAAAGTCCTCCATAAAATGTGCTGCACACATCTGAATATTTGGGTTGAACTGTTCTGGAACAGTGTTGTAAATACAACTTAACCACTGATAGGCCAGCGGATTCGACGAAGGAGTGTCCGGCGTGCTTGCGGCAACCACATGTGACGACCCCTGGCTGGACTCCGCTTGACGAAGCGGATATCGTCCTCTTTTGGAAGGCCAAACAAAGTAGTTTCACTTTCACAACGAAACACAGCATCTTCACGACATGGCTGCAGCGTCAACAATACTACAGCGAGAATAAAAGTTACGCCACCTTTCTTTGCGTG